ACTCCGGGTAGACGACGAATCCATCAGCAACTTAAGTCACGCCGATGCGTCCGTTGTGACTTAGAGCGTTTGACGAGTGTCAATCGCTCTGAAGCAACGAGCGCAAGTCGCGGATCCAAGCGCGTTTGAGCAACATCTACCCGACCGACCAATTATCTACGATCCGACTCGCGCAGATCAAAGGACTAGATCCAGACCCCTTATTTGAAGAGGAATCGAAGAGCCGAAAGCAAAGAGGATCGAGATTGAAAATTCGAAATTCCCATGTTTCCCAGGCTTCAAGAAGTCCGACATTCCCGCATAATATCAAACCCTTCCTTCCCAAAATCACCTCTTCCTTAAGGCATGAAGTCGACGTTTCTCGCCATCGCCAGCTCGTCTCCCTTAATTACCATCGACTTGACTCTTCAATCGTCGTAAAGAACTTCGAGAGTTCTGAACTTACTTATGTCTCCAAACTGAGGAATCCTCCCTAGCTTATTCTCAACTCCCGTCCTTCAAGCCTCAAGGAGTAGAAGCCAAGCTCTCTGCTCCCATAGGTTTCCTTCTCCCTTCTATCGCGAGTCCGACACCCCACATTCTAACCTTGAGGGAAGGCTCCCAACCTACTCCGGCGATGGTTCCCGTTCGTTCTTCTATCGCTTAGTATCGCCGCTTCCAAGGATTCTAACCTTACCCTAATTTCCTTCCTCCCAGCGCAAAACCATCACCTTGCAGCCGGCCGAAGCCGGCCGATGAACGATCCCACGAAAAGACCTAACCGGTTCACCTTAGTCGAGTTATGTTTCAATTCGTTCGCTCGAGTGTTCGAGCCCGCACCCCCGTACTCTAAATTTTAGTCTCTTGGCTACCGATTACTGAATCCAACTTATTTTAGAGCCAGATACCTTCAACCTAGTATTCCTACGTTTGAGAAGTTCCTTCTCTGGCGCTACTCGCCGCACTCCTCGTACTACCTGAAGAGTCGAGCATCTCTGACCCGAGTAAACTTTGCTGCGAGGCAAACCCGTCGCTCGTAGAGCACTCTCAGATGCTCGAGTAAGAGGTATCGTTCTTCGACACTAAACGTTAAATAGCAAACCAACCTTTGAACCCAAGCTCCCTCCCGCCCAGGGTGACCCCATTCCATCCCAGGTCCCTTCCCTTGGTTCCCCTGATTCGGGTACTTACCTAGCCCTGAAAATAACGTTTTTTCCTCGTGGGACGGGAAAAACCTCCAGATGAAAATCAACTTCCCAAAAAGTAATCACTTGAGGTCTTGGGACGCTGGACCCCGTTTTCAGCAGGTTACTACTTGGTTCTCC